TTAGGCTCAGAGCACTCTGAATGGTTGGTTTAAGCCAACCAATCAGAGTGCTCTGACAGGTAAATGAAGAGACTGACAGGTAAGTTTCTACATTTACCTGTCACAGCACTCTGAGTGGTTGGCCTGAAATGTCCCCCCCATTATTTATTTATTTAGGGTCCCCAATCGCTGCTAATGGGTGGGGACCATAGAAACATAGAAACATAGAAACATAGAATGTGACAGCAGATAAGAACCATTCGGCCCATCTAGTCTGCCCAATTTTCTAAATACTTTCATTAGTTCCTAGTCTTATCTTATAGTTAGGATAGCCTTATGCCAATCCCACGCATGCTTAAACTCCTTTACTGTGTTAACCTCTACCACTTCAGCTGGAAGGCTATTCCATGCATCCACTACCCTCTCAGTAAAGTAATACTTCCTGATATTATTTTTAAACCAGGGGGAACATTAGGTCTCTCCTTTAATAATTAAAGTCCTCAGTCACCACTCATGGATGGGGACCCAGGGGGGACATTAGGTCCTCCCAATTTTAATTTTTTTAGGGTGTCCAACCGCCGCTCGTGTGTGGACCCAGAGGGGACATTAGGTCCCCCCATTATTAATTAATTAGGGTCCCCACCCACTACTCATGGGTAGGAACATGTGGGGGACATCAGGTCCCCCCCATTATTTATTTAGGGTACCCACCTGCCATTCATGGGTTGGGACCAAGGGGGGACATTAGGTCCCCCCCATTATTTATTTATTTAGGGTCCCCACCCGCCGTTCATGGGTGGGGACCAAGGGAGGACATTAGTTCCCCCCCGTTATTAATTAATTAGGATCCCCACCCACTGCTTATGAGTGGGGACCTGTGGGGGACATTAGGTCCCCCCATTATTTATTTAGGATCCCCACCTGCCGTTCATGGGTGGGGACCAAGGGGGGACATTAGGTCCCCCCATTATTTATTTATTTAGGGTCCCCACCCGCCACTCATGGGTGGGGACCCTGGGGGGACATTAGGTCCCCCCAATTTTTATTTTTTTAGGGTTCCCACCCACTCATGTGGGGGGATCAAGGGGGGGATATTAGGTCACCCCCATTGTTTTTTTTTATTTAGGCTCCCCACCCGCCGCTCATGGGTGGTGACAGCGAGCCTCCCTTTTATAAATATGGGGGTCAGAGTGACCCCCATAGGTTTTAATGCAGGAGGGGGGTGGATGAAATGGTTATGTAATGCAAGGAGGGAGCTAGTAGCGCTGCTGGCTCCCTCATTGCTCTCTTTTCTCTTTTTTCTTTGCACATGTGCAGTTTGTTCGAAAACAAGTGATTTGCAGACCAAATTCGGGATTGACTTTATTTATTATGAAATGACATAATTTGTACGAAACAAAAATGTCATTGGTGTACATGTCTAATAATCAGGTGCGTTGTTTTAGTTGGGGAAGAGATGTCAGCAGGAGTCACTTCAGGAAGAAGGCAGGGCGGCGGAGGCAGTTTACGCACTGGGCATGTTCTGCTGGGAAACCTTGAGTCGTGGCATTCATGTGGATGTTACTTTTGACACGTACCACCTACCTAGAGATTGTTGCACCACTACATGGCAATGGTGTTCCCTGGTGGCATCTTTCAGCAGGACAATGCACCCTGCCAGACTGCAAACATTGTTCAGGAATGGTTTGAAGAACATGATAAAAAGTTCAAGGTTTTACCATGGCTTCCATATTTCCCACATATTAATCTCATTGAGCATTGGTGGGATGTGCTGGAACAACAAATTGTATCCATAGAGGCCTGATCTCCCAACTTGCAGGACTTAAATGATCTGCTGCTAATGTCTTGGTGTCAGGACAAGTTCAGAGGTCTTGTGGAGTCAATGCATCGAAGCTGTTCTGGCATCATGGAGGGGGCCTACACAGTATTACGCAGGTGGTTTTAATGTTGTGGCTGATTAGTGTACATCCATCCATATTTACATATAAAATATTAGGAAACAAATTCCTGAATTCGACCCACGTTTACCATTTGGCTATTCACTAAAAGCAGTCCAGGGTCAAATTCAAAGATGCTTTCCAAATATACAATTACAATTGTATTCCAAATAGCCAAAATCTATAAGATGTAAAGGCATTCCCGTATTTATTAAACACAGAAATTAATACAAATGTTTTCTGAATTTTGGTCATTTGGAATGCAGTACAGGTGTAGCATTTGCAAAGCACTGATAGTGAGAATACATTTAAATCAATCATTGAGAAGTCAATTAATCATGTTCCCTATTGAGGTTGGTGTAAAATTAATAGGCATGTGGCTTGCTTATGCCAATTAAATCACTTCCTATGATAACAAATCACCACATCATCATAATTTGTATGCTGGGACATGCAATTCCTCTGGCATAAATAGTACTACACACCAATTATAATATGGCAGAGGAACATCCAGTTATAAGGATATATATATATATATATCTCCAAAGGGTACCCAAAATAAATGGTAAGTGACCCCTTGAGCCACACATTATCGATAACCCCACTTTACTAATTTGCTTTATCTAGGACTTTATTGTGATGCCATGTTGAGTTTCACACTTGAGTATAACCAATTACAAAAAGTTATTTTTTACTTTAGATGGTCATTTTAATCACAATCAATATATCCAGTATTTTATTTGCTCTACATATGGTTTTTTTCTAGTTTTTAATATAAGCCCCTGTTTGTTTTCATTAAGCTTTTTTTTAACAAAAAGATAGCAGAAAAAAAGAAGACATGATGACAAGGGAAATAGCATGCTCTGTTTAGTTTACTTAGTTTATTAAGAGAAATGGACAAAACAGACAACTAATTTATATAGAGCCTCAGAGTTTGACAGACATTTTCCACCAGGAGCAAATTAGGGACGTCATGCAACATATGGATGAGTTGTGGCTTTACTCTTTTATTGATTTTAACTATATTTAAATGTATATATGTTCTCAGCACATTAACTTTTTTTTGTAGATTTGAGTATGTGTATACTATACAGTTTAATGCAGACCTATACTATCAAAAAATTATAAAATATTGAACATTAATGAAATAAATAGAATATTTGGGACATAATATTTCAGAATTGCCCTAAAATTTATACTACAGCCACCAAAACAAATTTAGCTAAATGAAGCAGTTTTAGTAAATAGATAATGCCCCTGCAGTCTCAGTTCTCACTTCTTTGCCATGTATTAGTTAAATTTTTGTTTGTGTGATTCACAGCCTGAATGATAATAAAGTTTCATTTTCAATCTGTAATGAATATGCCCAACACGCAGAGTGTAAATCACCAGAACCACAAAGGTAGATAGAGAAAGCCCCTATACCGGTCCTTAGAATGGCCTGGCTGAAAGGAGCTAGTGGAGCCAGAGACAAGCCGAGGTCAAAGGAGTACAGAAATACACAAAAGCGAGGAACAAGCCGAGTCAGGAAACCAGAAACCAGATTAGTCAAGTCAAAAACACAAAGAAGCAAACAGGAATGCGCTGAGGAGGAACTATGAACCACAATAGGGCACTGAGTTGAAGGCAGGCTGGTCTTTTATATGATTAGGGACATAACCATGCCCCCAAAAGGTAAGAGTAAGTTGTGCTCTTGTGTTTAGAGCTCTTTTGTTTAGCGCTCTTTTGCTAACATGTGACTGCACTGCCCCTTTAAAAGGGGCGGGTGTACAGCGGCTGGCTTCCTTGATGCTTAATGTATCTATCTTCTGCGTGGGAGCGACTGTCCGGCCGATTCTGCTATCGGCGGACTGGCAAGGTAAGTGTCCTGTTTCTTACACAATTAGATGTTAACTTTCTTTAGAAGTTTTTATCTCTTGCACATTTTATCTCAGGAGGCTCCTAAAGGGTCTAGAAGTCCCATAACAGAGCAGGAGTTAATATATTTTAAATTAAACAGACTGTGCAATGAAGTAAGTGCAAACATTCAATCTTACTTTACAGGAAGTATTTAGGAGAGAGGTGTGACTAGGGCTACATAAACAAAGTGATTTAACAGCTAAATGACATAGACTTGAGCAGTGAGACTGCAGTGGTATGATCTATACACCAAAACTTCACTTCTTCAATAAGTTATTTTGGTGACTTTAGTGCCCCTTAGCCATACATAGAAGGGCTACACATTTAAATCTAATATTATCACTATGCACCTTTAGATAAGTAGAGAATGAGAAAGAGTTGAGAGTTTTCGTAATTGTCACTGCTCTAGTGTATGCAATTTCACTCAATGCATAATCGTTTCATTTAAAAGTAGTTGTACTGTAGAAAAAAATATCAAACCTAGAATTATTTGCCACACTGTAATGTACCTGCTGCAATGTGGTGTTGGGGCCCAGTACATCCTCTAATAAAATATTTGAGCATATAAATAGCTTTAGGAAGATGGATCAACACATCATGTACTGATACATTGCTAATGAAGTATTAGATTTATTTTTATCATTTTCTTTTAATGGAATGGGAACATGTGGCTATCATATTTCCACTTTTTCCCTTTTTCTAATGATATTTTCTTTCATTTCTTGCTCTTTAAGTTTTGCAAGCCATGGATAACAAATAATAAATATAATACACAATAATATATAAAATGTATATAAAAAACACAAATAAAGCACCAGTGCATTAACAAAATAATAATTAGCGAGCATGTTCCTGCTTTAATGGAAAATTATCTAATTTGAATAAATAAATGTAATTTTATTACAAAGCATACACAGAAGGGGTGGTTGGTGCTGCCATGGGAATGGCCAGGACAAGACAATATGGTTTTTCATTACTGCCTTAAAGAACCTCTTTACTATAAGGTCTAATTCCCATCTAACATCAGTGAGGGCACACAAATATTATGTTTGAATTCTCAATGAATTCAAGCTGAGTCCCTTTTGAAGGCTTACGTGAAGGCACTCTAGTATATCTGATCAATCAGGTTCTTGAAATGATCTCCCTGTTTCTTGAATGCAAGACCTGAAGATAACCCATTTCTTGGTTAGCAAGTATTAGACGTTTACGTTCGAGATCCATGCCTGTAGCTTGAGAGTCTGAGGATTTGGATGCATAATTGGTCATTGGCAGTGAAGTCCTCTTCTTGCTAGTAGAATCTGCGGACTCTTTGAGATCATTCTCTGGAGCTGTGGGTACCAAGGTATCCTGGACCAAATTTGAGCTATCGGTATCACCCATCCCTCTTCTTTCCAAATTTTTATTTATCTTATAATAAGAAGGATGGAGGGGGGTAGTATATTTCTATGGTCATCAGATTAAATCTAGATAGCCTCATCTTGAAATAATCTCCCTGAGGTTTTCTCGTTGCACGTTCCATTCCTCTGGAGATGCTATGTGTCCACTTGGGAAGTCCACTTATGTGTTTAATGCACCTGGTAGATATAGCCTTTAAACTCTAGACACTGTTGTCTGCCCAGAATATAAGTGTTAAGATCTCTGCCAAGAAAAGTACTGTTCCTCACTTTGTCATTTTATAAGAATTCCCTGCTTTGTTGTTCATTTTTACTAGAATCTATGTGTCCTTCAATAGGGACTGTATGTGTTTTAAGGCCTTGTGAATGGCTTTGGGTTTTAGCTTGTTTGATGGTTGAGTCTGACCTGAGGGCTTTGTGTTCATGCTCCCCATCCAAAAGAACTTCTCTTTCCACTACTGTCCATTCTGATTTCTCTATTTTGAAACCCCCCATTGCACTGGAACTCATTGACAACCATCCGACAGAGGCTATGGTATTTTAAAACTATATTCACTAACCTGTATTAAATACTATTCTGCTTCCCACTGCAAAATATTCTATAGAAAATTATTCTTTTGCCAAAATCCATAGAAAAAACAGTTATTAGGAAACTCGCTGCACAATGGACAAATAAAGCATATGCTATACATATCCTCAAGGTAGCATGACTGTGGGAGTTATATTTTCTATTTTACATCTATTTTGAATGCATATAGTGCAATACGAAAAGTGAAAAATGCTAACTAAAGACCCATGTAACACAAACCATGCCTCTAACAACCACCTATATGGTTTTATGTCAATCTTTTTGTGCTAGATCAAGTAATGTGGCACAAGTATCTATCTGTCTATTAACTTGAAATGCCATATTTGTATATTTAACATTTTAAAAAATGTAAATAAAAAAAATATTAGTACTATATATACTATATAAATGTATATATAATAGTACTATGCAACTATGTTGCATCACTAATTGAAGATTATGCTAGCTTTAGTGTACTAATAATCTTAATTTTAATAAGGACAGGAGGCGAGTATTTTGCATTAACTCTCTTTACTAAACTCCACAGCAGTAAAGAAAACGTAAAGAGTAACAAATAAATCACTGAGCAGCATAGTATATAAGGGTCATGCTGCCTGTACACTTCCTCTTTCTTAAAGCGACATCCAAGTCCAGATAGAGCTCGAACATCCAGAAACTCAATGAAACGGTAACTGCGGTCTCTGGCGAGCGGAACTTAAGGAGACTCCTGGTAACGAGATAGGAGGAGAGACCAAACGAAGCCGTCATCCCATCTTACGGAGTCGTGAGGTTAACGAACCAGCGACCAGTGGAAGTCCTGAAGAGGGTTACACTGAAAGGAGAGTATAAAATCGGTTAGGTACTGAACCGTAACTGTTCACGCCTGTGGGCTTTAACAGAATGGTGTAAATTAAACAGTACAGACAGATTGTAAGCTGGCCATAGGTTAAATATGTGTAGGTGTAAGCATGTTGTACAACTAAACTGTCTGTCTAGGTGGAAACACTGGGAATAGAGATGGAAGGGATACCGAATATGTCCAGGAGATAGTGGAACCACTAATATGAATCCCAAAATCCATCACCTTAAGATCCACTCCCCCGAGGAGTCAGGGTAGGGAACAAAAGGGAGGGAAAATACTCGCCTCCTGTCCTTATTAAAATTAAGATTATTAGTACACTAAAGCTAGCATAATCTTCAATTTTATAACATGACAGGAGGCTTCCTATTTTGCAATTTTAACGCTGAAGAAGTGACATCCCAGCAGAAGGGGGAGTGCGAAAATAAAATGTACGGAAAGTGGATTCCCTAGACCAGTCCGCCGTTCTGAGAATATCCGAGAGGGACGCCCCTGCCAGGAAGGCTGATGAAGCCGCCGCACCGCGAACGGAGTGGGCGCCGAAGGCGGGGTCTATACCTGCGAGGGAAAGGATCCAGCGGATCCATCGGGCCAAGGTGGTGACCGAGACTGGGGCGTGAGGGCGCACGTAGGAGACTAAGAGTTGGCCCGACGTAGAGGACCGGAGCGAGGAGGTAACCGAAACATACCTGCGGAGGGTGGACACGACGCAAAGCTGCGGGTCGTCGGGAAAAAATGGGTAAAAGACCGAGGTCGAACCCGACTTAGTGCGACGGGAAATGTGAAACGTGACCCCTTCAGGGGCCACTTCGAAAGCGTCCACGTCGAAGGCCCGAACGTCCGAAACCCGTCGGAAAGATACGAGACAGAGGAGGAAAGCGCACTTAGCGGATAGTTGGCGTAGGGAGAGGCGGTCATTCGGAAGCCAATCCCTGAAGAAGCGGAGAACCAGTCCCACATCCCATAGGTGAGGGTATCTGGGGGCCGGGGGACGGCGGAGCCGCATACCGCGGAGTAGACGGCAGACCAGAGGGTCTTTGCCGACCGGGAGATCCCCGACGGGGGTGTGAGCCGCCGAAATCGCGGAGCGCACGACGTTGACCGAACGGTAAGAGCGGCCAGATGAAAACAAGGAGGAGAGAAAATTAAGAATCATGGGAATAGGTGCTGTAAAGGGATCGGAGTCCCGTTCCATGCACCAAGTAGACCAGGAGGTCCAAGCTGAAAGGTAACAGCGTCTAGTTCCCGGGGCCCATGAGTCCCATAAGAGGTCCCTAGCAGCCTGCGATAGTCCGCTGACTCGCCAGGAACCCCGGAAAGAGACCAAGCCACCAGGGGTAGCCGGTCTTCCAGGAGTAGTGGGTGGAGATGCCCTTTGGGATCCGTGAGTAGGTCCGGGAAGGATGGTAGGAGAAGAGGGTCCCTGTAGGAGGAGGCCAGGAGGTCCGGGAACCATGGTTGGCTCTGCCACAAGGGCGCTATGACAACCAGTTTGATCTGTTGCGTCCGTATCTGGTGTAGTGTTCTCGCAATCATGGAGAATGGGGGAAAAGCGTAGGCTCCTGTCGACGGCCATTGTTGGAGAAATGCGTCTGTCGCCTTGCTCTCCGGGTCCGGGAGCCAGCTGAAGAACTCCGGGGTCTGGTGATTGTTGCGAGAGGCAAACAGATCCAGGTGAAAGGGACCCCTCCGGGCTGCAAGGGCCCTGAAGATTCTCGTGTTTAGCTTCCAGTCGCTGACGTCTCTCCAGTGGCGAGAGAACCAGTCGGCTGTGAGATTGATTTCTCCTGGCAAGTATTCTGCCTGTAGCGTGATGTTGCGAGGGAGGCAATAGTCGAAAATGCCTTTCGTGATATCCGACAGCAGGCGAGAGCGAGCGCCTCCCAGGCGGTTGATGTACTGGACTGCGGATACATTGTCCATGCGCAGGAGGATGCAGCAGTTGGATCTTTCCCGGGCCAAGCTGCGAATCGCGAAGGATCCTGCCAGGAGTTCGAGGCAATTGATGTGCATGGAGAGCTCCTGCGTCGTCCATGTTCCCCCCGTGGAGATGGTTCCGTTGGTGGCACCCCATCCCCACAGGCTGGCGTCTGATTCCAGTACGAAGTCTGGAGCGTCTCCGAATATGGCCCTGCCGTTCCAGGCTTGCATACTGTCCAGCCACCACGATAGTTCCTCGCGAACCTCCATCGTCACCGGGACGGGTTGGTCGTAAGTAGGCTTGCGGCGTAGGTATTTCGCCTTGAGACGTTGCATGGCCCTGTAGTGGAGGGGACCCGGAAATATGGCCTGAATGGAGGCAGAGAGGAGTCCTACAATCCTGGCCAGATTGCGTAGTGGAATGGAGTCGAGACGAAGAACCCTGCGAATCTCCTTGCGAATGGCTGTGATCTTTGAGGCTGGTAGCCTCAGAGTGCAAGTTGTCGAGTCGATCTCGAAGCCGAGGAATTGTATCGTCTGGGTAGGGGTCAGCTCCGATTTCTGTTGGTTTACCACGAAACCCAAAGACTCCAGTAGGGATACTGCCAGGTGAGTGTGTTGGCGTAGTCTGTGTTCGTCTGCGCAGAAGATGAGGAGATCGTCTAAGTAGATGATGCATCGAATGCCCCTTGATCTTAGGTGGGCCACCACTGGTTTTAGGAGTTTGGTGAAGCACCATGGGGCTGAGCTGAGCCCGAAAGGGAGGCAAGTGAATTGCCAAGGGCGTCCGTGCCAGAGGAAGCGTAGGAGTGCTCGACAGTCCGGGTGCACCGGGACTGACAGATACGCGTCCTTTAGATCGAGCCTGGTGAACCAGTCGTTGCTTCGAAGAAGGTCTCGCAGGAGGTGGATGCCTTCCATCTTGAAGTGGCGGTAGACCACATATGCGTTGAGGGCGCGTAGATTGATGACGGGGCGGTATTCTCCCGACTTTTTCCGAACCAGGAAGATGTTGCTGAAGTAACCACCCCCGTCGCGGACCGGCTGGATAGCCCCTTTGTCTCGGAGCTCGCGTAGCTCCGCGTTGACGAGGTTGTGGTCGGAGGATGACATGTGGATGGGGGAGGGGGCTGAACCTGAGAGGGGTTCCCCACTAGGTCTATGATATATCCCTGTACAGTTTGTAGGATCCATGTGTCTGAGCATAGGGCGGCCCAATTCTGGAAAGAAAGGGAAATACGGCCCGCAGTGCGGGTACATGGTAACAGTGGAGGAATGTGGGTCCTTACCTGCAGCAAAGCGGGAACGTCCGCATCCGCGGGGTCCACGACCTCTATCCGAGCCTCTGGAAAAGGTTTGCTGCCGGTAGTCTCTTGTCGGGTAAAACGGTGTTGGTTGGGTGCGGGGGCCTGAAGGCCAAAATCGGCTGGCGGCACGGCCCCGTTGCCGGCCAGCCCTTCCAAAAACCCCTCTGGTAGGGTTGCTTCTGAACACTCTGCACATTGAGGACTGCGCCTTGTTAAGGGAGGTGAACACGTTCACGTGTTTGTTGAGTTCCTTGAGGAACGGTTCGCCAAATAATTTCCCTTGTGCCTGGGGCCCTATCTCCTTTGTGCCAAGGTCTGCCAGTTTGCCGTTAATACGGTACAA